TCCAATTTTGGACGTTTAAACGCTTCGTTTCTACCACACACTAAATAACACCCGACGACACTCCACCACAGGGAACAATACTGCACTACACCACACCGGACACTACAATCAACTACACTACACTGCACTACCTTCCATACACTACACTGCACTAACTTCCGCTACACTTCACCACGGTATACACATACACCCCACTTTATTACAACCACAACAACAACTACATTCCCATACACCCTACTCTACTGCACAAAACTACGCTTCATTCCAGGACCCTTCACAACATTAAAAACACTGCCTTCCACTAGTGCCCCTTCTACCACAGGTCCAAAAATTATGCCACGCTGCACTCCATTTTACCACAATTACATGTTCGATTACATAACAAGACCCCACTACACGACCTTTCACTAAATCGGACTAACTTACACTACACTACACTACATTCCATTACATTCCACGTCTCTTTCTAGATCACAAGACACTACACTGCGTGACCCTAAATGACACTGCACTACAGATAGACAGGTTGACAGATAGACAGATAGATAGACAGATAGACAAGTAGACAGCTAGACAGCTGGACAGATGGAGACAGATGAAAGAGAGAAAAAGAGAGAGAGAGGGTGATTGGGATAGGTAGGTACACGGATAGACAGGTAGACAGATAGACAGATTCAAAAAAGAAAGAAAAAGACAGAGATAGACCCGGATAAATAAATAGATAGATAGAAAGGTAAACAGACAGATAGATAGATAGATTCTTGGATAAAAGAGAAAGAGGGAGGTAGACCGGAAGATAGATAGATATATAGAAGATAGATAGGTAGGTAGCCAAATAGTCAGAGAAAAAGAGAGAAAAAGAGGAAAAAGACAGGAGATCTCATGTATTTTTTACACCATCAGTGGATTCGCGCTGCCACCGCGGGTTCTCAACAACCAACCTCTCCTATGGGTTTTCCATTTTTAAAACTTCCACCACCGCCTTGTGAGCTACTACTGGTATATTACATCAATTCCGAGAATAAATACGTGGTTTCCGACCGTAGCGGCCATTTTTTCGACAAGTATCCCGTTATTCTAAAATTCCGATGCCCCCAAATCAGGCATTGCGATGCGAGTTCTTTTGGCAAAAGTCGGGGTTAAATCAAACTAGAAAAATTTCGTGGTTCAGTTAAAATTCTAATATACCAATTTTCCGAAAAATTTATCATTTTAGGAAATTCTAAAATCACCAAATTTCCGTAAAAATTAAAGCTTTCGTCCGAAATTTCCGGGAAAATTTAGGAGTTTTAATATAATTACATTA